TTCTGTAAATTTCATTCACACTGTAACTTGCATGAGCAGAAAAAATGTTTATTTTTCTTTATAACTAACTGATTTGGTCTTGACAAGTTAGCGTTGTTTGAGTAGTATGAAATAAAATTTAAATTTTATTTAAATGGTAATCGTTGCCTGACGCAGTACTTTGAAGAGGGCTTTTTCATAAATTTTCGTGTGTTTAAGATAAAAATCACCAGTCTCAGATTTCCTCTCTGACCTTCCCTTGATTCTCTCGAAGAAAGGAAAAGGTGTGGCTTGCTGTGGCCTTGCGGCCAGGAGGGAAAAGCTTCCTTGGAAATGTGCTCTTTTCTCTGGCCTCTGCAGTGATAACAGCATCCTCCTGGTTACATTTGGTCTTCCCAGAACCCTGGGGCGAGGTCTGCAGTCGGTGTAATTTATAGTTGGGGCTCTTAGTTTTGTGATGCAAGTGGAGCTCTCTGTGTAATTGGGCCTCACTGATAATGAAGATCCTTCTGCATTTTTACTTTGTCTTCCTTTATGTTTTGGCCCAGGTAATCCAGCGCTCAGCTATGACTGCTTTTCACATATTAGGCTCCCATAACCCCCAGTGCAGCTACCTGCCGTAAGCTCTACTGGGGGCTTGTAGGGACTCCGAAGTCCTTCTCAAATGATCCAGGAATGAAGGAGAGCTAAGGGAAGCTAAAGGGCTGCCCTTCATCTGCCTCACCAAACTCCTCCACCAATGTTAATGTGATATGGCGTTGACCAGGTTTGTTGGCAAAAAGGGACAGAGATCAGGAGTCACCAGCACCCCCACTTCTGTCTCTCTCCTTTTCCCCACAAGGCTCCAAGACCAAAGGCAAGCTTTCCCCCACTTCCATTTTCCTCTTCCTAAAATTCTGTGGTGTCTTTCCCTCAGGACTGGATCTAGATATACTAAGGGGGGTGGGGGTGGGGCGCCTGGCTGTCTTATTATCTTATCTTATTATCTTATCAAGTGCATGCAACTCTTGATCTTGGGGTTGTGGGTGCAAACCCCACGTTGGGTGTAAAAAAAAAAAACAGATATGCTAAGGGGGAAATGGAGGAATTTGAAAAACTATTTTAACAAACCTCTTTTGTAACGTTATTGCCTTTGCGTGAAATCTCATCTTAAATGTCACAAGCTAAATAGTAACTCTTTACTTTCTTTTTACATTCCTCTGACACTGTCCTAACTGACAGTCCCTGATTTCCTGCAGATTGCCATCTTCAGCTAAGGAAAGGGGCATGAAGGCCAAAATATAAGAGAAGAAAATCTCAATAATGTATTACATGCTATTATCCCTATTAATGATTATACTAACTTTGAAGTTAAGCTAGTATAAATCTATAAACAATATTGTAAAATATAAAATTGTAAAATTAGATAGAGCTCTTAGTTAGGGGTGGGAGACTCGGACCGCAGAAAACATTCTACCTGCTAATCAAGTGCATATTGCAGAGTCCCTGGCATAAATACCACTCTAGAGAGTTAAGAGATAAAACTGTGAATTCTGGGGGGCACCTGGGTGGTTCAGTCGGTTAAGCGTCCGACTTCAGCTTAGGTCATGATCTCACAGTTTGTGAGTTCGAGCCCCGCGTCGGGCTCTGTGCTGACTGCTCAGAGCCTACAGCCTGCTTCAGATTCTGTGTCTCTCTCTCTCTCTTTCTGCCCCTCCCCTGCTTGTCTGTGTCTCTCTCTCTCTCAAAAATAAATAAACGTTAAAAAAAACAACAACAACTATGAATTCTGACAGTCCCAATGGTATTAGTCTAGATCAGTTCTTTTTAGTAGTCCAAATAAGGGCTATCAGTTATTTTTTAAAAACTAAACACAAAGGCAAGATAAGGAACTATAGAATTCAGTAAAATTAATTCTTAGTGCAATTAATTCTCACTTTCTTGCAAGTAGATTTTCACTGGGATGGTCTGAGTAAACCCAGAGCCACTTTTCCTTATTTCGACTTTCTCCCCATCCCATCCATGCTGTTAGTTGGCCATGTCCTCCCATGTCTAGGCTATAGTTTCCAATTTTGGACTATTGAGAGTTAGGGAAAGCCAAGACTGTGTTTTAATCCTACACAAAGAAAATTTAGTTTGCGTGGTGGAGGAAAGGGGTTGGGTGGATGTCTGTGAACATTTCAAAATTAAATATCAACTATTAAATATTGGTTCACTAATTTGTCCATTCTTTATTCAAACATGTTTAAACATCTGTCTTACAGTCAGATCAGTGTTAGGTCCTAGGGAAACACTGGATGAATAAAATCCAACTCACAGTCTGGTGGGAAAGATTGATTTATAAACTGATACTTTTAGAAAGATTATTGTGATGATATGCATGATGGATGGGAAGTGACAGGGGCTAACGAGAGGAGTATTATCATAACCCAGATCAGAGTACTATGGACTTAAACGAGATTACTAGGACTAATAAAGAAGGAAAGAATTTAGGGGCACCTGGGTGACTCAGTTGGTTGAGCATCCAACTCTTGGTTTCGGCAAAGGTCGTGATCTCATGGTTAGTGAGATGGAGCCTCACATAGGGCTCTGTGCTGATGGTGTGGTGACTGCTTGGGATTCTCTCTCTCTCTCCCTCTCTCTGTACCCCTTGCCCACTTGTTCTCTCTCTCTTTCTCAAAATAAATGAACTTTAAAAAAAAGAAGAAGAAGAAGAAGGAAAGAATTTATTTAAGGGAACTTCCTGAAGTAAAACCAGAATTTGATT